CAACTCATTTGCGGATGGGTTGGCCAAGCAAGGAGTGAATAGGGAGTCTGTTTTTTGGGATAGTTTTTAATCTTTCTTCTTTGCATTCCCTTTGTTTTCTGTTTTTGGGGAGCTAAGTTATTTTATCTCCCCTTTTGTATCCATATTCCCTCTTTTCTTTTAATTCAATGAAGATGGTGTTATTGATAAAAAAAAAAAGCTTCAAATGAAGCTTTCAGTCTTTCTGCACCCAAAATATCCTTCTACTCCATTTTTAACAGTCTGGTATACAAGGATACTTACCAAATGGTCTTGATCCTTAAAGACGAACTCCAAAATGCTTGGCACATTTTTTGGTCTGCTGGGTTGCGAAAAGATCTACTTAAAAAGACTTGCCAAACAACCCCAATTTCAATTGGAGATAGACAGACCAGATCCCAATCATATTAAGATTTTGAGGTGCGAAACATTTTAACGCCCTTCTTTTAGAAAGGGATGTAACATATTCTATACTAGTAGTAATAAATGGATCATCTAGTTATTAGCTGGGTTATTAGGAAGAAAAGAAAGATTACTTTTACCCTGTCAATTCATTGCTCAACAATATTTGGTCCCTTATTTTGTTTCTTATTGGTCTTCCATTCTCCAAGAATTCAAGGGGATTTGTTCCACATCTTTTCATGTAAGTTGGAATGATACTGCAATGATGGAGAAAGACTTTTTTTTTGTTTTTTTTTTTCCTGATCTGCAACACGAAAAATCAGAATTTCATTAAGGATAACAGGAACAAAGTACAAGGTGGACACCCCCTCCAGAAGGGGTTGTAAAGCTGAACTTTGATGGTAGCAGCCAAGACAACCTAGGGCCCTCAGGCGTTAGAGGGGTTTTGAGGGACAAGGACAGCAACATTATCTCTTTACTCTCAGGTCCAGTGGGAGTTGGAGATTCAACAAGGGCTGAAATACTTGCATCTATACAAGGCCTACAAATTGCTAACCAATTTGGGGTGCAGAACCTATTGGTAGAAGGTGACTCCAAGGTGGTAGTGGGCTGGCTGCTGAATCCGATCAGTGCTGTTTGGGGCTACAGAGATCTCCTGAAAAAAGTAAAATGGGTCACAAGGAATATGTTAGTCAATTTCCAGTGGATTAGCATATCAGCAAATGCTTTGGCAGACTCTCTGGCCAAACAAGGGGTTTCTCAGGCTTCTTTGTATTGGGCTAATCTATAGTTCTGTTCTGTTTTTGTTAAGACTTGGGTTTGTACTCACCCTAAAGGGGAGGTTACACCTTGTGCCTCCTTCAAGGCTGATTGTACTCTTGTTTGTTCTCTTTAATAAAATTGCCAATTCATTCATAAAAAGAAGTAGAACAAGAAGTTGTGAGAAACTAGCAAACCTATTACAGAATTAGACCCCCAACTATTTTACAATTGTGCCTAGTACATATGTCTTTAAACCGCTTGCTTGGCTAAACTTTCTGCTAAACTATTTATCAGATCTTCTAACCCATCTTATTTGAGCATTCATATATTTTGAAAGCCATTTGAAGTGCCAAACTCATTTCTAAACTTCCAAATCATTCCCTCACCTTTTCTCAGCCATCCCACTACAATCTTTGAATCACCTTCAATGATCAAACTACCAAACTCCCAATTCTTTGACTTTCTCAACCCCAAAAACTGCTGCTAGAAATTCTTTTCTTACCGAATCACCTTGCTCAATTGGTCCTGAAAACAAGGCACAAATATCACCACTCTCATCCCTAATCACCCCTCCAATGCCTGAGGGGCCTGGATTGCCCACATTGCTGCCATCAGAATTCAGTTTCATCCAACCACCCACAGACCAAACCTTCAATGATCAAACTACCCACTCCAATTCTTTGGCTTTCTCAACCCCAAAAACTGCTGCTAGGAATTCTTCTCTTACTGAATCACCTTGTTCAATTGGTCCTGAAAACAAGCAGACCGTTCATGGGTCGGGTAGCCTGACGGCCTGGCCCGCCCCTCGGACGGGCTTGAACATGATTTTTAGCCTACAGGCTTGACCTCGGGCCTAAAAGCTCGACTCAATTATTTTTCGGGCTGGGCTCGGGATTTGTCAAAAAAGCTCGGCCCGGCCCGACTAGTTTCTAAACCCTAAATCCCTATTCCCCAACTCGACTAACCTTTCCCAGTTTCCCTCTTTTCATCGTTTTGTCTTCTCATTCTCACTCCCAGAGTCTTAGGCACTGTTCTCACTCTTAGAGGCGAACTCAGGCACCGACGCCACCAATCTCTCTCTCTGGCTATGACCACTGATCATGTCCTCTCTCTCTCTTTCTCTCTCTCTCTCTCTCTCTCTCTCTCTCGTTATCTTCCTTTCTCTGTCTCCGGCGGTGACCACTACTCGTTCCCATCTCATCCATGAAATGTTCAAAGCCTTTTGTTAGTTCGGGCTTCAGACTTTTTGTGAGGGCCAGGCTCGGGCTCAGGCCTGAAAAAATTCTGTTAATGAAGAGTAAAAGCCCGGCTTGGCCCGGCCCATGAACAGGTCTAAAAACAAGGCACAAATAGCTCCACTCTCATCCCTAATCACCCCTCCAATGCCTGAGGGGCCCGGATTGCCCATATTGCTGCCATCAAAATTCAGTTTCATACAACCACCTATAGGTGGTGGCCAAACCTCTAGACCTTTTTGTTTCCCAGAGGAAGAGTCAGATTCCTTTAGGYCTTTTTTTTCCATCTTCTATGCTTGGAGTTCTTGCCTTATTTCTTTTGTTGAAACTAATCTATATTTCTCACCCAAAAGATGTATAAAATAGTGAACCTATTTTGAGTTTGTGCAAAAACCATTCTTCTGTTTTATAGAGATTTTTAAAACTTAAACCATTGCTTATGACCCTATTCATTCATATTGATGGGGGTTTATACTAGTGTAACAACTAAGTGACATGTTAACCCAAGTCTGGGGAAATTTTACCCATTGAGATGTGCAAGGCTGATGATGTCATACAGGCATATAGTACAACTTTGTTCTGAGGTGTTTATGCCCTCTGTTCTATACCAATCAGTAAGCCTCTACTAAAATCCCTTTTTGTAACTATTGTACCAAATAGTAAACCTCATCTGCATCTTTTTTGAAACAGTAATGAGTAAACCTCTACTAAGATCCCCTTTTAGTTTATTTAACAACCAGTAAACCTCACTTTCTTACTTTTTGTAGTCAGAAAACATGTATTTTATATTAATTGCCTGAATCTTCTTTTTCTCAATTTCTATGGTCATGGTAAATTTGATTATGGTATATAAAAAGTAGATTTTGTTTTATTTGTCAGTTCAAAAGTACAGCAATCTTTATTCAACTTGGGAAAATATTATTGTTTTTCTTTTGGAATGATCAGGCGACAAGGAATTTTCAGTGAATCCACCAATTATCTATATAATGCTGCTACTCAAGAGAGAGAAACTACACTGAACCAGCTTCTGATAGAGCTTGATGGGTTTGATACTGGCAAAGGTGTTATATTCTTAGGTGCTACTAATCGTATGGATTTGTTAGATCCAGCACTTCTTCGACCAGGTCGTTTTGATCGTAAGGTTTGCTTCTGGTAAATTGTGCTGTCCATTTCAGCTCTTGCATAATGGATTTTAGCCATTCCCCAAGCTTAAGATTGTTTCTTCATCAATTTCACTTTACATTAACCATATGCTGGCTTTGTAGTGATAATAATTGATCAACACAACTCATAAAGATTTAAAAAGGGGAAAACCCCACAAAGCTGTGAGCAATGTGTAGGGGGTGTAGTGGTTGTAGATGGAATCAGTGGGGTTGGGTTTTTTTTTTTTTTTTTTTTTTTTTTTTTTTGTTTTTTTTTTTGAAGGGGTCAAAGTTAAACGAGTAAGGTTTAGTTTCATTGCAGAGAGTGTTGGTTGTTTGTGGTGGTAAGTGAAGTACGTGCCTAAGAATTTGAGTTTGTTGGAGGTGGTTTATTATTTCTCTTCTATTGGGTGACTGTTGCTCACCTTTATTGTAATTTCTTTTCCTTTTAATTAGATTTTATTTTACCTCCAAAAAAATGTGTAGATTTTAAATAGGAGAAAACTATTTGTATAGAATAATGATTTCTATCAAGTCTGTGTGGTGAAAAGGTCAAAATGTTGCACATTTGAAGCTGTCTTTGATGCAAAATGGAGCCTGTAGATTTGTAGGGAATAATGATTAGATTAGTGGCACTTTGACTTCTCATGAATAAATTGGGGTGTTTCAAATTAAAATGCTTCCCTTTTCTAAATGTCATTTTGACACAGTGCACACACAGTACAGGAGCTCCAGTTAGGAGTGATTTGTTACAAGTGGAAGGGGCTAGAAGAGCTAGGTTTAGACCCCAAAAAGGACATGGATAGAAGTAGTAAGAAATGATTGAAGCACTAATAATTTAACAATAGATATGGATTTAAACAGAACAAGCTTGACATTTGTAGTAATTCAAACATTGGTAATTTTTCCCTTTTTATTGTTAGCAAATGGGAATGCTGGATTTCCCAAGGTATAAAAGGAACATACTTCAGAGCTGATTTGGGCAACTGCAACTCCAGGGTTCCTTCTCTGTTTCAAACTCAACTTTCAACTGGCCATTCCTGTTGCCAGGTTTTTCAAAATGGACATGCCACTTTTCTTATGATAAATAAGAGAACTTTTATTAAAAAAGAGAAGGAGATACAAAGGAACAAGGGGAGGGGTAAAACCTCTTAACCCTCCCTGAGAACAAAATACAGTTTACAACATTGCCCACAAAAGACACTCTCTTCCCACACCTTGTTTAGTGCATCCGCAAAGGAATTTGTACTTCTCTTAATCCAATGTAGCTTTATCTCCATTTGAAAATTTCATCATTATGTGGTCATGATAACAATTGTCAAATGACAGCTTCAGTTCTCTCATTCTGGTATTCCTTTCTATTGATCGGTTTCTGAAATTCTTCTTACAGATAAGAATCCGACCTCCGGGAGCCAAAGGGAGGTTGGACATCTTGAAGGTTCATGCTCGCAAAGTGAAAATGTCACCGTCTGTTGACCTGGGTACTTATGCACAAAATTTACCTGGTAGGCTATTTTCTGTTTGAGGATGTCCTCAATTCATTTTGTGCTATCTTGTTAGGTTGAGTTGCAATCTTTTTCTAATAAAACATTATGTACCTAGTAAACAGCTATAGACAAATTACTATGAAATAGTTTCCAAAAAAATGCTGTTAATGTGAGAGCTGGAGATTAAGTTCATATCCAATCCACCCTTCACAAGACCCTGAATAGCCGGCACCAGCATTGAATAATGGCTTTAAAAATTTATGCTGTTAAGGTTAATGCACCATTTTTAACGCTTAGGATAATAAATTGCAAAAAATGATTAATCAGTTTGTATGCCCGATCTACAAAGGCTAAAAGTATTTTTCTTCACTTATACTGCCATTTTGACCAGTAACTGTAAAAATTCGTCTGTTAATAACAAACATCTGTATTGTAATGTGTAGAAGGCCTGTGGCCTAGTAAGGGTTTTTTTGTCTTTTCTCATTGTATTAGTTATGAGCTGTCGCCCTAAGTATAAATACTAACTTAGGCGCTGCCAGCTACAGTACTTTGAATAGATTTCTCTTTTCTCTCTTCTCTCTTCTAGTTCTATCGAACCACATGGTATTAGAGCTCTGATCTGGGCGCAACCTTCTCAGATCTGGTTTTCTTTCCTTTTCTGAAAAAAACTATTCTGATTGACGACTCTATCGTGTGCTTCTTCTGGGTGCAACTTTCAACCCTCTTTTTTTTTCTTTCTTCTCTCTTGGTCGCTGTACCAAGAAGAAGGGTGTGGTGGTAGCTGAATGCAGTAAAAGATATATCTAGATCTGTGGTGGCAACCGAATGCAGTAAGGTGTTTTTCTGGGTTTGTGGTGGCAGTCGAATGCATTAAAACTTGCCTTTTCTAAGGGTTTTCTCTGTGCTGCGGGTCATGGAAGCCAGGTATGTACTGGTACATTCATAAGTAAATTTTGACCACTGTGAATGTCACAGTTCTGAGGTCGTAGGGACTGGTTGTCTCCTCCTTTTGCAAACCGAAGTGTTTCAACTAAGAATTATTGACCTACAGTGCTGTTAAACCTGTGTTTTTGGAGCCTACTTATTTTTCCGAAGAGAAAACCCTCTATATCAAATTGGTTTTTTAAAAAAACAGCAGTAATTTTTTTGTGGAAATGGCCACTGAGGATTCTGCAACCTCTGACATTACTTCACAACAAGGAAACCTAAATGGGGGAATGGACAACATGAATTTCTCTGTCTATTACCCCCTTTGATGGCTTGAACTATCTGGGTTGGTCCAAAGGCATCAAACTTTATATCATAGCTAGGGGGAAGGCTGGTTATATAAGTGGAAAAATAAAAGAACCAAAGTGTGGTACTGCTGAACATGATAGATGGGATCAAAAGAACAGCATGGTTATGTCATGGCTGTTAGGCTCCATGTTGCCTCATGTAAAGAAAAATTTCATATGGGCTGACACATCTTGTGAAATTTGGGAACAAGCCAAGGCAACCTATTCTGAATAGAGGCACTTTGCCAAGATTTATCAACTTCAAGCAGAACCATCTACTTGTAAGCAAGGGGACCGTAGCCTATCTACGTATTATTCATCCCTTACATCGGTCTGCAAGGAACTGGACTAATTAGACTATTGACTGGAAGAATATGAAGATGCACAAGCCTACAAAAAACTTGTCTCCCAGCAGCAGTTTTTTGCTTTCTTGCATGGGCTGAATCCGGCTTATGAGCCTCTTTGGGTGCAGATTTTGGGAAGTAGAGAACTTCCTTCAGTTCAGGAAGTATATGCCCTAGTCCAATCTGACGAGAGCAGAAAAAATCTAATGAATGTTTCTGAGGGGGAGCAACCTGTTGCCCTAGCTGCAAGAGGGGGTAATACAGGAATGAAAAAGGGAGAACCGAGGAAAGGTGAAGATAAGGATAAACTGTGGTGTACTCATTGTCAGAAGCCTAGACACACTTGGGAAACCTGTTGGGAGTTAGTGGGTAAGCCCAAGTAGGCAAACAAAAATCAAGACACTTCAAAGAAGCCTCCTTAGAAGAAATTTAGTTATGCAAATCTGGCCACACAAGACTATCAACAAAATAATCAAACTACTGTGTTTCCTCAAGAGCATCCTAGTGGTTCTGATCCTAAGGAAGACAACATCAACTCTCTTAGAGATCATATGGAATTGTATGGTAGGACACTTGGGCAGTTGGATAGGTTGGTTCCTACCCCTTCTACCTCATTCGCTTCTACATCAGGTAAAGGTGCTTCTTCATTTCATGTGTGTACCTCTGCTCTCGAGTCACCTTGGGTCATTTGACTCAGGGGCATTAAACCATATGACTGGTAAGTCAAGTCTCTTTCAGACCTACACTCTTCTCTCTGGAAGGGATAAAGTGAGACTTGCTGATGGGTCTCTATCCACCATTGCTGGTCAGGAATCTATATCCCTTCCTGATGGTCTTGTTTTATCCCATACCCTTCATGCTCCTAAACTTCCTATTAATTTGTTATCTACAAGCAATATTACTTAGTCTTTAAACTGTTGTGTACATTTTTTCCTCATTCTTGTGTTTTCCAGGATTTAACCTCAGGGATGATGATTGGTAAATGACGCATGGTTGATGGCCTCTACATCTTGGAGAATAAAGTTGGCCCTGTGGCATCAACCTTTGTGAGTCTTATGAGTCAATCTATGAGTCAGTCTACAAACAGTCAACTATGGCTATGGCATAACCGCCTTGGTCATTTGTCCTTTGAGTCTTTGAAAGTTATGTTTCCTGAATTGTTCAAGTCAGTGTCTATTACTAATTTACATTGTGAAACGTTTCAGTTGAGTAAGCATTGTAGAACAACTTTTTCATCAAATAATAAAAGATCAACTTTTCCTTCCCATGTTGTCTTTTTTGATGTTTGGGGCCTTGTAAACATACCTACTGAGGGTGGGTACAAGTACTTTATCAGCTTTATTGATGACTATTCAAGATACACTTGGCTATATCCTATGCATTCGAGAGAAGAGGTACTCAAGATTGTGCAAGATTTCCATCGTATGGTTTTCACTCAATTTTATGTTGGAAGTCCAAATTTTCCAATTGGATAATGCAAATGAGTATTTCCATCATGACTTAGACGAGTTTTTCTCCTCACATGGATCTCTTCATAGAAGCTCATGTTCCAGAAGTTGCCCATAGTATGATGCTTCACATGCATGTTCCAAAACGGTTTTGGGTTGATGCTGTGATGGCTGCAACTTATGTTATTAATGGTATGCCATCACGCCTCCTGCAATACAAGGCCCCACATCAACTTTTTTTCCCTCAATCCCCTTTATTTTCCATTCCTCTATGTGTGTTTGGGTGTAAGTGCTTTATTCATGATCTATCTCCTAATCGGGGTAAATTGGATCCCAAATCTGTTCTGTGTGTTTTCTTGGGTTATTCCTCTTCCCAGAAGGGTTATAAATGTTTCAATCTGGTCACACACAAGTACTTTGTGTCGATGGATGTGTCCTTTTTTGAGTCTGAACCCTTCTTTCAAGCCTCTCCTCAGGGGGAGAATAGTGCGAAGGAGGAGAGGTAAGCTGCATTTCCTCAAATCCCTCTTCCCTTTATTCCTGACTCTTCTCCATTCCGTGTCTTCTTGAGGTGCTGTAAGGGACTGCTGAATTCGAGGGCTGTGGAGCAACTTGAGACTATACATCCAACACCTTCTGACTCCTTGAAGGAAAATCCAAGTACCCTTGTTCCTTTTGATATTACTGAACCTATTGCTATTGATGATCATACTAATGATCTTGATGTCCCAATCGCTCATAGAAAAGGGGTTCGATCATGTACTATTAAGCCATCCTATTGCTCAGTTCTTATCCTATGACACATTGCTTCCGCATTTCGCCTTTTTGACTGCCATTGATTCCGTCTCCATTCCCAAAAGTGTTGCAGAAGCCTTATCTATACCTGAATGGACAAAGGCAATGAAAGAAGAAATTAGTGCTCTTCACAAAAACAACACCTGGGAGTTGGTGAATCTTCCTGAAGGCAAGGAGTTAGTGGGATGCAAGTGGGTATTCATAGTAAAGCATAGAGCAGATGGGTCGGTTGAGAGGTATAAATTTATGTTAGTTGCAAAAGGGTATACTCAGGTATATGGGGTTGATTATGCAAAGACTTTTGCCCTGGTTGCTAAAATGAACACTATCCGGATTATACTTTCCTTGGCTATTAACTTTGATTGGGAGCTCCACCAATTGGACATAAAAAATGCTTTCTTAAATGGAGATCTGGAAGAAGAAGTTTACATGATTCAACCTCTTGGGTTTGTAGCACAAGGGTGTGAAGGGAAAGTTTGCAAACTAAAAAAATCTTTATATGCTTTGAAACGATCCCCAAGGGCCTGGCTCAATAGATTTCACTTGGCTCCACAACAAATTGGGTTCAAGTAGTGCCAATCTGACCATACTCTATTTGTCAAGAGAAACTAGAAGAATGTTGTGGTATTAATTGTCTACGTTGACGACATTGTGATTACGGGGAATTGGGACTCTGAGATTAAAAAGGTCAAAGAATCCCTTGCTATCCAGTTTGAGGTGAAAGATCTGGGACAACTATGTTATTTCCTTGGTATTGAGGTTGCCTGCTCAAAAAGGGCATCTTGATTTCCCAAAGGAAGTATGTCCTAGATCTTTTGCAGGACACAGGAAAGTTAGGAGCAAAGTCTGTAGACTCTCCTATTGAAGAAAACCATTGGCTTGGTGATTGTATTGGAGAACTAGTGACAGATGTCAAGAAATTTCAGAGGTTGGTAGGAAGACTTCTCTACCTGTTAATGACTCGACCAGATATAGCTTATGCTGTTGGTGTCCTTAGTTTATGTATGCACCAATATCTTCCCATCTAGAGGCAGCTAAGAGGGTACTCAGATATATAAAGAAGTATCCAGGAACTGAGCTACTTTTCAAGAAACATGATCATATGAAAGTGGAAGTCTATACAGATGCAGATTGGACTGGAGCAGTTGATGATAGGAAATCAACTAGTGGATATTGTACCTTTGTTGGTGGAAACTTAGTCACTTGGAGAAGCCAAAAGCAAAGTGTAGTGGCCAGATCTAGTAACTGAACCGAAAATTCTGGTTTCGATTTTTGGTTAAATCGGTTCGGTTATTTCGGTTTTGGTTTTTGGAATTAGAATTTTGGTTAACCGAATTAACCAAACTTTTTATTATTATATATAATATATATTATGTAATATATAATATATAATATACTGAAATTAGATTTCATAATATATAATATGTAATATATATTATAATATATATAATAAAGTGTATATTATTAAAATTTGGTTTTAACTGAAATAACCGAACCAAAAATTTTGGTTTCGGTTTCGGTTTTTATTTTTTTAGTTCGGTTATTAAAATTTCAGTTTATTCGGTTCATTTTTTAACCGAATAAACCGAATGCTCACCCCTAGTGACAAGAAGGCAGCCATTAATATTGCATACAATCCAGTTCTTCATGACAGAACCAAGCATATTGAAGTCGATAAGCACTTCATAAGGGAGAAACTTGAAAATGGGGGAAGTTTGTACTCCTTACATTAGTTCCAAGGAACAACTAGCTGATGTCCTTACAAAGGGTCTTCATTATTTGTGACATAATGAACTGTGTGACTAGTTGGGCATGATTGATATATATGCTCCAACTTGAGGGGGAGTGTTGTAATGTGTAGAGGCCTGCGGCCTAGTAAGGGTTTTTTCTATCTTTTCTCATTGTATTAGTTATGAGCTGTCGCCCTAAGTATAAATACTAACTTAGGCGCCGCCAGCTATAGTACTTTGAATAGATTTCTCTTTTCTCTCTTCTCTCTTCTAGTTCTATCGAACTACAATCTGGAAATTACACCTAATGGATTTTATACCCACTAAGAGAGCTAGCTTCGTCTAGCCTTCATGCAATTACAAATTACAGTGCGCCCCTAATCCTGGTTTACAATTCCTCAATACAATTCACTTCTGTTTAATTTGGCAAAGCCATCGGCCATGTTGTTTGCTGACTTTTCAGTTCAGCAGCGAGATTTCTTATTTCTCTGATCATGTTGTCTGAACATCCAAGCTCCTACTACTTATTCAACCACCCTATCACCACTTTTGAATCTCCTAATACTAATTCTTATGACTAGATTTCTATCTGGTGAGCATGAAACCCTATTTAGTAACAGGTAAATCTGAAAATTTTATTTAGTAAGTTTCATGCCAAATTATTTCTAGACAAAACAACAAATTATTTTTTAAGACAGGTCTTCAAAATTAATCTTGTCCAATGTAGAACTGGTAAAAGAATGCAATAAAAAACTAATGCAAATTTGCTTTTAAAGGTTACAGATGCATGAATGAAGACAAGAAGATTAAACATGCGACGAAACCAAAGGGATCACTCATGTGACAGAAATAGGGTAGGTCATGATAGGGAAGCTCCCTGCTTGACTTGATTAGAGAACTTTTTTCATTAAAGTCGTATCCGAGGTATTAGGAAAACTGGATATAAACCTAACCATTTGCACTTTTTTCCCACAAAGTGACAGACCTAACCATTTGTACCTGTTTTGTCATACTTGTCAGTCCAAGATTTTGCACCATGTATGCCAAAGGTTAGGACCAAATCCAGTCTACCCTTCCCAAGATCCTTGATAGTTGGGACCAATGGGTAATGACATTTTTATACACTAGATGATGATGGTAATAATATGCGTTCATTTTTTCTGTATTTTTTATATTTCTATTTATATAAAAATAATTCTTGTTTGTCACATTTATTTTTGTTTAATATGATGAATATATAATATTAGACACAGCCCATAAGGGAAATCTTCAACATAACAAGGGAGATCGTGCATGCTTCAAATGGACAAGGAGATCAGCTAATGGTTTAGCTGACACGTTGGCTGAACAAGGGACTGTGAGGGAGAGAATGTTCTGGGCAGTTTTGTAAGAAAGATTATTGGGGGCTCAACACCTATTTAGGGGTTGACAGCTGTACTTAACTGTGGAAAGTTATTCTTAAGTTGTATTAATGAAGTTACCGTTTCCAATAAAAAAAATAGAGATGTGCCCAAATGTTTTCTACAAAAAATTTTTATTTTTGGTTATTTATGTTTTTTTATCTTTTGTAATTTTTATTATTTAATAATGGCATCATGGGTTGACCCATTTGACCCAGATGGTTGAATTACTTACCTGCCACCTGGACAGAACAACAGTTTCMTTTTTGGCTGAGTTAAAAAAACATGGGTTTTACATTGTTAAAAGTATTGGATGTGGATCCAATTAACAAAATTTATTGGTGAGAAAAAACACCTTAAATATGAGATTTAATGAGTGAGAATGGGAATTAATACCTTAAATATAAGACTCAATGAGAGAGAACTAAATGAGGTGAAAAGTAGAAGTTTAAAACTTTAAATTATATTTTCGGTCCTCACAATCAGAGAGGGGCTAAATCGAAAGGTAGGGGTATTTTAGTAAAAAAAGTTCCACACTTTCATTCATACTTTTAATAGTGTTGAGATGGACGAGTGGTAAAACTCTGCAGGATTTTAAATGAGCATTTCTGTAAGAGTTTAGGAGTAGCTCCAATAGGTGATAAAATGAGGTAAAGTAGGCTAAGGTGGTTTTTGCTATGTATATGGAAGACCGTGTGTTATAGTTTGACACCTGTAGGAAAAAGTGATTTGTTGGAAGTTGGGTCTGAAAGAGCTAGTGGCAGGTCAAAATGGGTGTGGGTAAAACAGGATTAATGTAGCTGATCCCAAATAGTTAGGAATTCATATAAGGTTTATTCACGCCTTAGAGAGTATGTTCATACAACAAATTACAGTAACTGTTACTAAAGTTATTGAGTAAGCCATATGTTTCATTATCAGGATGGACTGGAGCAAAGTTGGCACAACTGTTGCAGGAGGCTGCTTTGGTGGCAGTAAGGAAAGGACATGAAGCAATTCTTCAGTCAGATGTGGATGGTGCAGTTGATCGACTCACGGTGGGCCCTAAACGTGTAGGAATTGAATTAGGTCATCAAGGGCAATGCCGCAGAGCCACCACTGAGGTTGGGATGGCAATGACATCGCATTTGCTGAGGCGGTTTGAAGATGCGAAGGTTGAGTTCTGTGAACGCATCTCCATCAATCCTCGTGGCCAGGTCTTTGTTCTTGTGTTCTTTCAATTATTGTCTAATATTTTTTTTCTATATTGAGATGTACAAAAGGTCAGATCTGGTTATGTTGTGCACATACCTATAGGTGTCAGAAATTATTGTATTTGGATCAAGAATAGATATTTTCCTGACTAGAAAGAGCATAGAAGTCAGGGATCATGCAGACAAGATCCGTTAGGTTGGTCTAGCCCTGATATGGTTGGGTTCACTTTTCAATGGGTGTGAGTGTATAGGCCCGGCATGTGGATGTTGATCCAAATTTTCCTCCTGGATAATTATCATGTCTTTGTTTGGTTAAACTTACATTTACAGTAAACATATATTTGTCAATTGAAACATGCAGACATACTCTCAAATTGTTTTCCATCGCCTTGGTGATGAATCTTACATGTTTGAGCGCCGGCCTCAATTGCTGCATCGCCTTCAGGTATGGCTTCTCAGGCACTACTTGCCATTAAACGGGTTCTCTATATGCTTAGAGATTTAGTATAGGACTTTCCACATATGCACCTCTATTTGTAATCATTGATATGAGTCCATAAAATACCTATTGTACACTGTGTTGTCATGGATCTAAGTGTATATTTAGGGTTTTAAATCTCAGGAGAATATATAGAAGCTCAATGAGGATTGCAAAAATTTCCCTAAATTGTCTACTACTCATTGGAGTTCAATCCTATGTAAGGTATTGCTTGGAGGTAGAGCTGCTGAAGAGGTTATTTATGGACGGGATACATCAAGAGCATCTGTTAGCTACCTTGGAGATGCATCTTGGCTTGCTCGTAAAATTTTAACCATGTGGGCTCACTTACCTAGTACATCCTGATCCTGATTAGAATTTTCATACATGCTGGACAATTTTGAAGTTATTTCTCTTCGTCTTTCTACAGATGGAATTTGGAGAATCCAATGGCCATACATGGAGAACCACCTCCTTGGAGGAAAAAAGTTAGCTTTGTGGGTCCAAGACTGGACTTTGAAGGATCACTTTATGATGACTATGGCCTGGTTGAACCACCAATCAACTTTAATTTGGATGATCAGGTTGCCCAAAGAACTGAAGAGCTGGTCTGTACAAYGTACAAGAAAACTGTGTCTTTGCTGAGGCAGCATCATGCAGCTTTGCTCAAAACCGTGAAGGTATGGATATCTTCCTTTTACACTCCTCCCCTTCTTTCATAAAGAGCATAGCAGATATATTGATAGCATGGTGAACAAGGGCAACTGAAGAACGAAACCATTTGAAGTTCTGAGGTAATATGATTCAAGGGTTCTCAATTACTATAGTTGGAGGCTGGGAATACTAATAATCCAGAAGGAAAGGCATATTAGCATATACTTCAAGTTACTAAAGAGAGCAGTGATCTGGTTCATGTCTCCTGGCATGCTCAAATATTAGAAAAAAAAGGAGAATTAACATTTGGATAAGGAGGCTGGATCAAATGCGCATGTTATGGATATGAGAATACGATATTTGTAAATTACAGTGTCATACATTGCCTTGTTGATTTATTCTCTTGTACATTCTTTTTATTCTGTTTTCTTTTGATGGGTATGATGAAACTCGTCAACATATGCAGTTACTTGGTTGCTGTGGCATTCTGACCCATGGGTGGTTATTGACATTTGACCTTGCTTTGCAGGTTCTTGTGGATCAGAAAGAGATCAGTGGCGAACAGATTGAATTTATCCTTAACAAATATCCTGCTGAGACACCCGTAAGCATTCTTTTGGAAGAGGATCAGCCTGGAAACCTGCCCATGTTTGATGTGGAACAAGGGCATGATTTGGAGCTTTCCCTGCTAACTTCCTCAAAAGAGAAGATCTTGTAACCAGATTGGTGATGCAACTAAGAGGAGGTTGTTCTCCTCAAGTGTGCAGGGGAAATTTTAGGAGTTGCACAAAAACGTTCCTACTAGAGTTCTCTATTTGCCTCTTTCAACAGCAAATAGGTTTTTACCTGGCTGATGCTTCTGATGAAGGCAAAATTGAGAGCATATCTATGTTCAGAGTGCAGATTCCCTCGATTGGTTCTGGATGTAGAAGAGTTGTGACTTTCCTTGATTGGCATCCCCCGTCACCATGTAACTTACTGCTATTTTCTTTTTTTAATTTTTTTTGATTGTGGTTGTTTTCTTCCCCCGTCACCAATGTTTTGAAATTTGAATCCCTATCGCCAAGGTTTAAAATACCAAATACAATGTGTAATGATTTCTCCCTATTGCCAAGGTTTAAAATACCAAATACAATGTGTAATGATTTCCAATGTGACTGACACATGGCACAGGTGGAATATGAAAGATGGATCTATGAATAATCTATCAAGTCCATTGATCCATCAACAATTTATGCCAAGAAAACATTTTTAAAAATTTTGGTTTTTGGATAATTTATAGAAATAAAATAATAAAAAAGAGAACTATTTTAGTAATTAAAATCTATAAGTTGCATAGGATATGACTTGTTCTCATAAATAATGGATCTGATGCATCTTTTAAAATAAGATTATATAGTTATATTTATTATTTATAAGAACAAAAATGCATTATTTACAAAACTTACTTTACGTTAATAAATTTTAAGAAGTTAATATAGTAATTAACTATCAAGATTATATTTTTTTTGGCAATATACAAAAGTATAAAAATGATAAAATATAGAACAATTGAAGTAATTAAACGCAGTCGTGTTTTTGGATTATTCGATCTATGGATTTACCTTCTCATGGGTCTAAAATATTTTAGATTAATTTATATGTTTATAATGATTAATTAATAATTTAGTTTAAATAAATAATAACATATTAATGGATTTATACATGTAGTAATTTATAAAAAGCAATATGATGTCATGAACTCTTTAATTGATGTATTAGCAGTAAAATTATATCTACATTCCTATATGTTGATTATAACGTATTTCTTCATGTAAACTATTAAAATATGTTATTTTTCGTGTATCTCATTCATAATTATTGCAACTTTAGACTTAATGTTGTTAATGTATTTATCAAAAATTTTGAGTTTGTTTTGTTATTCATGTGTATCCAAAATCTGCTGTGAATTTGTGACAAGTGTCCATTTCATCCTTGTTGATATGCTTTGCAATACCAATATAAATACCCCATATACATGAGAATACACATGTAATGAACACTTGTCATAGACTGAATAGGAGTCTAGGGAAAAAGTGTACTAGAAACCAAGGTTTTAAAAATCGGAACGGACATTGGTACCGTTTTGGCCACCGATTCTCGGGTAAAATGGTCTAACCGTCCAGTTTGAAACGTTCTCATTTTGAAAATATAAAACAAATAAAATGAAAAACAGTCAAAAAGCGTTGTCTGGGTTGATGAGTCGATGGTTTGACCATCCAGATCAATGGGCCACTGACTAAATCAATAGTTTTTAGATCAGGAGCAGTTTTAGGATGAAATGGAATCAGTTACCTGACTGGTTCTTGGGTCAATTGGTTTGACCATCTGATCCTGTCCGATTTTCAAAGCAAAGCTAGAACCAGATTAAATTCTAAGAATATAACTGCTAAATTACACTTCATGGTTTGACTTAGTACCTCTTTAAAAATGGTAGCTTTGACTCTTTGAGTTCTACTTTAAGGGGGCGTTTGTTATTTGGATTTGGAGGGGGTGGGGGAGAGTTGGTCAATGGGATTGGGAAAAGAAACCCATGTTCTTTTTTCATATTTATTTTTKGGGGCATCACTTTCTTGAGTAAGTGATACCTATCTTAGGTGGATGAATAGCTTTCTCACATAGGAGAAAGTTGTCAATACTTGGATGAGACAAAAATGCCCCTTTTAATAATGAATTATTATACTATAACGGTTAGGTTTTAAAAATCGACCTGGAACTGGAACCTTTCTGGCCATTAGTTTCCAGGTCGACAGTTTGACCGCCCAGTCCGAACGGGTGACCTGTTCCAATGAAAAAAATGATTAAAATAAAAATGACCAAAACTATTGAACGGGTTGAACTGGTTGATGGTTCAACCACCTAGGTCAGCGGATCGCTAACCAATTCAACAGTTTTTAGCTAGAAACCAGGTTTGGGGTAAAACCGGTTGCCTGGAAGGTTCCCAGGCCAAATGGTCCAACCGTCTAGATCAACGGCGGTTCCAAATCATTAGGTGATTAGGTAAAAAGTGTTTCCTATTAAGTGCATTTACCTGGATAAAAAAGTGAACGGGGGCATTAAAATTTTCACCTTTTAGTCCGTATCTCCTTCCAGTCGATCTCATCCGTGAACTGCACAAAGGTAGTCTTGACTGACCTTTGACCATGTCATGATGTGAAGCCCATGTTTTCACTTTTCAATGTCCTGAAATTCTAGCAAGTTTTTACCTAAAAAAAAAATCTGGCAATTTGTCGAATGGAATTTTGGGCATTTCAGCAAAATTCAGGATTATATCTGGTTGTATTTTATTTGGTAAGTAATGCTTACACGGATTTCTTTCAAATCATTCGCTTCTTCTTTTATCATCTTTTTTTCGTATGCTTTTGTTATTGAAAACATAAATATACTGTCGATCAACAGAATGTCAAAATTCCCTTTCCTTTTTTTTTTTTCAAGAAAGAAAATAAAGGATTCTTTCTTGAACTTAGAATTTAGAACTGCCTCAACCTCAACTTCAAACGATCATATCAAGAGAAATTTGACATTCCGGGAAGGCGAACAATTTATATGCATTTTCTCCCTTTCTGTGCAAATCAAATCCATGTGACGTCCGATTTATATCTTAAATACAATTGCCCGAACTTCCAGTCTCGGGCAGAGTATTAGAATTCTCAGTTACCGACATGTTTCAATTTATTCCATGGGCATTATTATAATTCCTTTCAAAGCTGTAATTTTGATTAACCAATGGATTCAACGCTTGAAATCCAATGGTTAATGCAACAACATTGTGTCTGGATGGAAGCCCACACCAATGAACTTGGATCTTACGTCATATAACCTCACAGCACGTTGCAGCCATGCATTAGGAATATCTCCCCCATGAATGACCACATACAAGTACGGGAAGTTTCCTTCAAGTGTGCCCTGTGAGGAGCAAATCCGGATTCCCCACCAATAGCACATCAATAATATCCAATCGGATATTCCATTTCCATCATGCATTGGCAACCAAGGGATGAAAATGACCCAAGAGCAGTTCATTGGGCGAGTTGCCGAGTAAGGAGAAGAAAATGAGCTCAAGACTGAACAAACAACAACGGTTCTATTACTTGCAAGCCGTGCAATTATTAGCCAAGTGCTCTGAGACGGCTGAAAGACCCAATTGAACAAGGTTCGCTTTTGAGTCTGTTCGTGGGATTTAAGATTGTCAGTTGCCACCTGCGGTTTCTGAAACTTAACTAGTAAGCTTACAATTTCGTTATTATTAATCATCTGCGGTGGAAGACTTGTATGGAAGTATGGATTAAGCCAATAGAAGCTAGTAACAATTGCAGAATAAATACAAATTTAACTTAATTTACAAGGTTTGAATAACAAATCAACCTCGCCAGCAGACTACATGCTAGCAACAATAGACAGCTCTTGTTCCACATCTGGCTCCCCGTCTGACCCTACCAAAATTGTCTGCAAGACAAAAATCGTTTTTATGATATAATAGGAACTTCAATGAATAACCACCAAAATAGCAACACCATTGAAAATATATAGATACACAGGAAAATTGCTKCATCACTTGGTTCAAAAGAACCAGTAAGATGATCCCAGAAACCTCTTCATTTATTGGAAATCTGTCATCTTAATCTGGTTTACTTGTTTATGCTTTGAATTACTGTAGTTTTTAGTAATGCAAAACAAAATGAGGGCAACCATTTTTAGTCGGTGCCTAACATTTGAAGCCAACATGGCTATCCCAAGTCATATATTGGTAGTTTAGATGCTAAGGGCCTGCAAAAAACGATCATCAGGGCTGGCCTGGTACCACCCAAATATAACGCCTAGGTAAGTCCAGGGATGAAGCTTGGTCGGAGCATATTCAGATTCAGGAGTAGCACTGTAGAACATAGAGCTGCACCTCCTCTTCCGAACTGCATTTGGCTCATTTACATTTACAAGATTTTTCATCTCCTATGGAGTAAAAGATATCTAATGTAAGATAACTTAGTCGTTCCAGGTAATAATCTTAGAAATCTGTACGCTAGCACCTTCACTGTCCCCGACTCCAACCACCCTTTCCCCTTTCCAGTTATGAACTGCTAAGTCTGGACCTACCATTACACCGCAAAGGCCCAATGTTGTCATATTCACCTATGGAGTTGAAGTTATACCCCTGCCCCCTCACCACACAAAGGCCCACTTTTGGACCTAGAGTAGTAGGGCTCTAATGGTCGATTTAAATTTCCAAGTAATTCAAGAATTGTAATCATTTATTATGATATTAAATTTCTATATTTTTAATATTTTAAAAAGTCATTTGCACAGTTGACATCCACAAGGTCAATCCAGTTCATTTGCAGTTCTGAGCAGATTGACCTAACCTGCTTGCCCACCCTTAGTTCAATGTCTACATAATGCTGGACACCATGATAATAAAAATAGTAGATACGAAACCAACAAATCAGCACATACCTCTGAATCACTTGGTTTGTTCTGTGAAAGATAATGGTCCAATGCACCATCACCATAAAGAATTTTGGCACCACAGCCATGTCCTTCTGCAGCTCCAACAGCTTCCTCATCAACCACAACAGCATCTATTTTATCATTTCCGGTTCTTGTGTCTGGAATCTAGCAAATAATCCATCATAAATCCAATTAGTTTTGAATCTTTGGATATCAAACATGGGGTTATATCCTTTTCTCTTTTTCTTTCTTTTTTTAAATTTTAATCACTTAATGATAGTTTTAAATAAAAAAACAAAAAAAGGTGCACCCTGAAAAGAAAACACCATTCTCTTAATACCAGAACACAATACAACATCCCTCTCCCCTAAAAAACCCTTCCCCAGGAAAAAAGTGATTTTATATTTCCCATCTTGTTCTGATCATTACTCCATCTGGAGGCTTCTCTCACTGGCAGTCCTCTAATCCAGATAAAGGAGGGTTGTGTTGGATTGGCAGCTGACATAAAAACCTAGAGACAATTTTAGGGGATTCTCCAGATGATGACACATTGATTTGGCACCCTGAAGCAGTCTTTAAGGATACTAGTAATTTGACAGAAAATAAGACTTTTAATAGAGCACAATGGTAGGATAGGATTTATGAAGCCAAAAATAATTAGGGTTAAGGTTGATTTTGAATTTTGATCATATAACTGCAACTAAGCTACCAAATCCAAGCTTATAGGAAGGATTGAAAATTGGCCTGCAAGCAGGTCTGGTAAATCAGGCAGGAATTTGCCATTTTTTAACCTATTTTTAGAATTATGGAGGGGAATGGATTACACACCTCATACATTGCATCCATCAAAATATTCTCCAATATGGATCGCAAGCCTCGGGCCCCAGTGTTTTTGGCCATTGCTTTTCTAGCAATCACTCTCAAAGAATTTTCTGTGAAATGCAGTTTGACCTGAGTTAACACAAATTTGTAAAATCAATACAGCTGGAGTATTTATGGAGCTATCAAAATTGCTACACAAACGTGCAAGTAAACTTACGCCATTCATTTTCAGAAGGAAAAACTTAATATTACAATCAGATTTTGAAGGGAAGTATTTTCATAAGGAAAAACTTACACCATTCATTTGAAACAACTTTCTGTATTGCTTTCCAAGGGCATTTTTTGGCTCTATAAGAACCTAGACAACAAAATCTGCAAACTATTAGATAGAAATTGACATCTCATTTTACTGGACAAAAATTAGACAATTTCAGAAAGGCAAACAACACCGTTGCATGTGCTTACACACTATATTTGTCCATAGTACTTTGAAATGAAAAGTCATTTGAGATCAAAATTTATAAACCAACCACCCCCATGCAAAAACAGGGAGAAAAACAGCTTACAAGAGGAAGATATGTGTAAATGAGTTGAACAACAAAATCAAGAAGAAGAAAAAAAGAAAAATTACCTTAACAAGTTGATCTTCAGTTAGAGCTGATAAACTAACTAGGATTGGAAATCGCCCAATAAATTCAGGTATCAAACCATATGCAATAAGATCACTGCTCTCAACCTGCATAATCAAAGAAGCAGTGTTGTTAGTGTGGCAAGGTGATGACTAATTGCTTTAGCCTCCCTAATTGATGCAATGATTAGTCAGTGCCTAGGTTCTAACTAATCAACCACAAAATGATATGTTTTAAATCAAGTTAATATAGAATGCAAATATGCAATAAAAGAGTGATATAGAATATCAGTGCACAGTTTTTGTTTTGCAGACAGTGAGCACACTGATGATAGGAAGAGGACCTGAAATAACTTATTTTCTTTGATAGCAAAATTGGAAAAAAAATTAGTAGAAGGGATGGAGGTTTGGGTATCGGGAACATAAGGAAATAGGAACTTGGCTCTTCTAGGGAAATGGCTTTGGAGGTTCTCATTGGAGAAGGACAAACTTTGGGTGAAGATAGTGGGCAGTACTCATGGGGTTGCAGCTAATGGATGGGACTCTGGGATTCTGGCAAGGAGTACAAGAGCATCTCCTTGGAAAGCTATTCAAGCTATTCTACCTTTGTTTTCTCCATGGATCAAGTATGACTTGCACTCAGGCAACCTCATTAATTTTTGGGAACATGTTTGGATTGGGGACTCCACCCTAAAAGACCAATTCCCAAGCCTTTTTGCCCTTTCCACTTTTAAAAATGAACCCGGTTTCTTCATTCATTGTTCCTTCTAATTCTATTTCTAGGGTTGGCTGGAACTTGGTCCTACGAAGAGATATCAGGGACACAGAGCTTGATGGTATCTCATCACTGTTATCCATTCTTGAAGGTGGGGTGTTCCTAAAGCCAACAAAGGCAGATAGTAGAATTTGGACACTCACCCCCTCTGGATCCTTCACTTGTGCTTCTTTCTTTAGAGCTTTCACACATTCTTCTTCCTCTGGCTTGTCTTTCCCTGTTAAAGAGGTATGGTGTCATCCTATACCTCCTAAGGTTGGGAATTTCTGTTGGGAAGCCTTTTTGGAAAGAGCTAATACAACAGATTTACTTCAAAGAAAAAGACCCAATAGTTGTTTTTGTCCTCACTGGTGTGTCCTTTGTAGGGGTGGCAACGAGCCGAGCTTTTCACGAGCTACTCGAGCTCGAGCTCGAGCCCAATTCAATGGCTCGATTATTAAACGA